AGGGAGGGAGGAGCAGTGTCTTGGAGCGAGTCACTCACCTGCGTGCACTGCTTCCTCGTGGCTGGACACCAAGGGCGGTAGGAGAGCTCCCTGGGGTTGAGGATAGTGAACATGACGGTGACCCATGTGTCCTGAGGGATCAGAGTGGTGGAGAGGTAGGCCTTGCCCGAACAGTGGTCCCGCGTCATCTTGTAGAACCGGAAGCTGTCCGGCCCGAAGAGCTGGATCTCCCTCTGAGAGAACGGGAGCTGATTGGGAGGAAAGTTCTCGATGAAGACTGTTCCCTGGTTCACGGTCTGCGCGTTGATCTTGAAGGAGAGCGTGATGTTGTTCCAGTGCCCTGCGAGCCTCGTCGACTGATTCATCTGCACCTCCACCTTAGGTGAGCTGGAAGCTGTCAGCAGTGCAGCTGGAGAGCCTGTTGGCAGCAGCAGCTGAGTGGGAGGGATGATCTCGGTGCTGACGTAGGCGACGATGGTAGGGCGGGGAGTGAAGGAATTCCTGAGGACGACGATGACCTGCGAGGGGTAGAGGAATGTGATCTGCAAAGAGCGTTAGATAGCGGGCAGCATGCGCAAAGTTGTCAGTTCACCTGGGAAGCAGCTGTGAAGATGAGCCTTCCCAGGTCACGGGAGAAATTCCCGACGTTGGAGAAGAAGCCTGCAGCGTTACCCGTCAGGGGCAGGTTGGCGTTGTCCGGAGTCAGCGAGCCGCGCAGGCCGTCGACAGTGATCGAGGTGCCTCCAGGGAGGCTGAGCGTCGGCTGGAGGAGGAGGGTTATGAAATTGTAAGCTCCTTGCACAGATGTCGACTCGGTGATCGAGGCTACTTGAAACCTGACGGGCAGGAGGGAGCGACCGACTGGGGAGTTCGGGAAGCGAGTGCTGGGGAGAAAGAAGCCTCTGCTGTGAGTGGCCTGTGCGAACTGCGGGAGGAGCTCAGGGTGGCTTCTGTCGCTGTTCACCAAGTTGATGACGAATGTCATCACGACGTTGCTGGTCCACATGTCCCCTAGAGTGTAGGTCAGCTCGCCCGAGCACTGGTTCCAGACCCCTCCGTAGGTGAGAACCCCGTTGATGATGGAGGAGAAGTTAGAGGAACTCGGAGTCTGTGAGTGCAGTAGCCCCCCGATGGTGACGACCGACCCGGCAGGGATGTTGCAGTTGCTACTGAGGGAGACCAGGATAGAGTTAATCTGCTTCTGCCCTGCAAAATCCTCCTTGATCGTCATGGACGTGAAGGCAGGACGCAACGTGGCTGCGAGGATGGGCTTGGAGAACTTGATGCGGCTGAATGGCAAGCTGACGCAACCTGCAGTGCTGCACTTGTTGACTTCAAGATCCACGAATGAAACACCTTCTGCTGCGATCGCGCTGTTTGACAAGGTGACGGAGAAGGCGGAGGCGGTGTCGGGAGAGAGTCCGTTACCGGTGATGGTGACGGTCAGGGTTCCTGTTTGCTGCTTCCAGTCTGCGGTGGTTGGCAGGCCCTGACTGCTGCTGGTTACAGCGAGAGCAGCATTGTTTGCCGTGATGCTGCCCAATAGCCTGTGAATGTGATGGTAGTTCCTGCAACAAGGTTCGTGTTGGGCTGAATGTTGAAGGATATTTTGTTATCGCCAGTCATCACCTGGCTGCTATCAAGGATCGTTACAGTTTTCCATGCTGTGGCCTCACAAGCAGCAGAAAGAGTAGTTGTCGTCGACTTCCATCCTTGTATGCTCAGGGTGACCGGGTCCATCAAGGTGCAGACGGAGGGGTTGGTCACCGCAACGGAAAAGTGAAGGGTGGGAGTCCCAACGTTCGGGCCGACGTCCTCCACCAGCGTCATGGTCAGCGATCCATCGCAGCTGCTCCATGACGCCCTCTGAGCTGTTCCGCTACTCGCCAGCTTCTGGGCCTCGGATCCTGTCAGCACGACGTTGCCGTCCAGCCCCCCGTTGAGGAAAAACGCTGTTAGCCCCCCTACCACGACTGAGGACCCAGCAAGCAGATCGGCAGGAAGAGGCCCGATGGTGAAATCTAACGAGCCGACGGCAAGAGGGACCGTGGAGGAGGCAGCCACGACGATGTTGCTCTTGAGCTCCTGATCGCTCCGCAAGACGATGCCGAGCATGGAAGTGGGGAGGATCGAGAGCCCTGGGATGGAGGAGGAGGCGGAGATGAGGGGGCTTGCGATCAGCTGCTTGTCCTTGGGGTTCACGAGCCTCACGCTGAAGGTTATGGAGGAGCAGGAGGAGTCGCTGCAGCCAGGTAGAACTCCTGTGGTGGTCAGGGCCAGGATACCCTGGGCTCTCCTCCACGTGGCGGAGGAGGCAGGGAAGAGGGAGGCGTTGAGGCCGTAGAGGGGAAAAGAATCGCTGTCGTCCGACTGCGTCCCTATCAACCCGGAGATGGTGATGTTGGAACCACTCGGCAGATTCACACTTGGTCTGATGGTGAAGGTCAAGACGTTCTTCTGCGATGCGACGCGAACTTGTTCTGTGATAGTCAGCTCGACCCACGTCGGAGAGACGGAGGTGGAGAATGTGGCTGGAGTTGCGACAGCTTGCTTGGGGAGCTGGAGGCTGCCCTTGGTGGCTGTGACGTAGACCTGAGCGCTCTGACTTTGGTTGGCGAAGAAATTCCTCGTGGAGAAGTTGAAGACGGAGGTTGTGCCTGCGAGGATGAGGGAGCTTGTGGGAAAGAGGAGTCTGCCATCGCAGGAGCTCCACACGCCATCCACTGGGGATGAATCTTGCTGCATCCTGACCTGCTGGCTCATCTGAAAGCCCCTCAACCCATCGATGGTGATCATCGTCCCCGCCGGCACCGGACAGGTAGGAGACAGAGAGATCCTGAACAAAGTCACCTCTCCTTGCAGCCTGTTGGTCCTGGAAATGGTTGCCAGGTTCCAGTAGGGATCGGTAGTTCCCATGAGGATCGGTCCTTCTCCTATCATGGGGACAGGAGCTACTGCAGGGTTGCCATCCAGGGAGATCATGGGAGCGAGCACGCGATCAGAAGCAAGAGAGTTGGTGAGCTGGAAGGAGAAGGTCAGGAGCTTGTTCTGAGGAATGTCCGCCTGCACGGTGAAGGTGACTTGCGCGCTCCGCCAGGAGTAGGAGGACAGCGGTTGCAGGTGACTTGTGCTGAGTTCAGTGACGGTCAGAGTCAAGTCTTGCTTCTCTAGTGCAGTGTCAAGGCCTGAGATGATTATCTTGGAGCCGGCGGCCACTTCAAAGTTTGCTGCAAACTTGACAGCTAAATTTGAAGCGCAGCCCCTGAAAGTTGAATCTGACGAGATGTTTCGGACTATGATCAGAGGAGCGAGGGATGGCCCAAAGACTGACGTGTTGGAGATGACAAGTGGAAATCCTTCTATGCCCACGGTGACATTGACGGGCCGCTGAGGAAACTTTGAGTTGAGCAGAACGAATCCAAAGGAGAAGTGGAGGTACGCGTCGATGGTTGTGTTCACCACAGCAGTGATTACTCCCGCACAAGGATCATATGACGCAACACGAACGAATTGAGAAAAGTCCCCAAAGACAGAAAGAGATCCTGTTGAGGGAGACCCCAGGAGGGTAGTGATGTTGATCTTGGTGCCAGGGAGTATCGTGAGGGTGGAGCTGAAATTGAAGACAAGCCGGTTCCTCGCGCCGAGAACAAGGCTGCTCTCAGAGACAGAGAGGTTGAACATGGGGAGCATACAAGCTCGATTCAGTTGGAGGGGGACAGCGTCCTTTGTGATCATAGTGAAGGAAATGTTGGAGAACAAAGTTTCTGTTGGCCTGATGATGAAGATGGAAGCAGTTTGCAGTTGGGCTGAGTTGTACGACGGCACCTCTAGGAGCACCGTCATTCCTGGGAGAATCTCCATACCACTCGCCACCTCCGCTATCATCAGCCCGTTCACGTACGTGCCGCTGCCGTTCACAAAGTAACTTCTGAAGTTCCCAAGGATAGGAAACGACGAGTTGGGAGACGTCCGGATGTTGAGGCCTGAGACTTGGACGAGGCTCCCGGCGGCAATGCGAACGTTTGTCTGGAAGAAGATGGTGACGTCGAACGAGTCCCCAACGGTCCCAGAGGAGGAGAAGATCCAGGCGGCAAGGACTGCAGGGCTGGTCTGAACTGACAGAGATTGAGGGATATCTTGAACAGTGACCTTCGCCTTGGGGATGGTTGAAGCAGCTGAGCTCGAAGATGCTTCCAGGTAGACGTTGGCGATCGGGGGGTAAGGGTTTCCGTTCCTCAGATCGAAAGAGACAATGACGGGCACGTTTGCCTTGAGTGTGATGTTAGGAGCTACCAGGATAATCAGACTGCCCTGATCCTGGTTCCACGAGGCGCAAGATTGGTTGAACAGCTTGGCATGCGCAGAAGACAAGGGCAGGCAGTCACTTGAAGGCGATGCAAAGTTCTGTAACCCAGAGAGAGTAATCCTCGTGTCCGGTAGGAGGTCGCTGTTGGCAACCATGGTAAGAGATAGCCTGTTCATCTCCGTTATTACGCGTGTAGACTCGGAGATGATGGTCCCGCTAGTCCAGGAGACGGCGGAAAGTTGGGTCTGGGGGACTTGAACCTGCTGTGTGGAGGTGTTTCTAGGAAGACCGTTGCAGCACGTGCAGCCAACACTGGAAAGGGTCGCGAAGACGTTGAGGGAGGCTAGAGGAGAGATGTCACTGCTGGGGTTGGTCATGCGGAACTTGAAACGTGACAGGCAGGTGGAGGGCATGGGAGCAGTGAGATCGATTCTCATGGTTCCCTGTGATATCACGGCAGAGCTCGGAAAGATGTTTGAGCTGAAATCGTACAGCGAGAATGTTTGCGGACTGATCGCGAAACCAGACAGGAAAATTGTTGATTGTGAAGGCAAATTGTAAGATGGTTGCAAAACAATTGTCACTTCATTCTCAACTCCTTTGATCTGCGAGCTCTGAACCACTTCTGCAACGAGGAAATAAACGTCGGACACAGTCTGGTCGGCAAGGCTGCCGATCAATGTGAAGTTTTCCGGGACAGGAAAAAGTCGAGATGTTGAGATTGTGAAGGGAGCAGACTTGATTCTGAAAGTCTGAAAGAAGCAGAGGGAGAAGGACAAAGTTGCGTTACCGATGAGTTTCTGCACCAGAGACAACTTCATCCACCCCTCTGTCAGATTCCAACTATTGATCGTCACCCTGTCTGTATTGACAGAAGTCACAGTCCCATCGCCATACAGTCCATTGATAAAGAAGACCTCTCCAGCCGAAATGTCCCCTGTCGACGAAAGAGTAAACACAACTTGGTTGTCCAAAGTTCCAACAGCACTCCTTGCTTCCATCGTCTTGATGTTCCATGACGCGTTGATACCTGCAGTGAGTATCGAGCAGGAGAATTGAGTGGCTGCGATCGGATAAGAAGAACCCCCAATGCTAATCGAAGGTTTTCTTGCGGGGACAGGAACGAGCCGCTGACAAGTTCTTGTTACAGACACATTGGTACCAGCGCTGGAGTTCGAAACATTGACAAACTCGAAAGTCGTACAAGGATAATCCTCATACATGTAGCAAGGACATGAAGGATTCTTGAACGTGACAACAATCGTGTTTATCCCAATCACCAAACTCCCGGTGAACTCCAAAACTCCAGCAGAATTATCCCAAGTCATGGGATTGATACTAGTTGCCCCAATAGTCACTGTTGGCTTCGCAGGGTCGAGATTGTCCAGCCCAGTGATCTTGATCAGAGCTGACGTAACTGCGTTCTTGGGAACAACACGGAAGGTTATCGGGTTTGTGTTGCCGTTGATCTGATTCGATTCCGCACACTCGTACTTGAGGAAGACGTTGGTGGAGTTAGCGAGAAGAACCCCATCAGGGTTGCTCGACACTTGCAACGCGGATCGATCGGAGCTCTTGGACGGGAACCAACACTGACCTGTGCCATCTTGACCAGCACACGAGTCCCCGCTGACGTAGAGGCACTTGGTCGTGCTCGTCTCGTTGCTTGCGATGACGCCAAGGTTGGTAGAGTTACCGAGGCCGCACCATGACAGGGCTGTACCGCTGACTCTCGCCTCGATGTTTGTCCGCAGTGCAGGGTTGGAAGGGTTGGTGACATCCAGGCGGAGCATCAGGTTGCAACCGTTACCAATCGCCATGACTGCTTTCAACGTGAGTGTTCCTCCGATCCATGAAACCTTCGAGACGAAACTTGAACTTGACACCGACCCCGGCGCTACGTTTGACAGCCCTACAATGGTAAGAAGGCTATCTACCGGGATCTCGTGGTTGGGCTTCAGTGACAGGTAGAGGGAATTTGCTGCACTTGCAATTTCCGTGCTCTCGACAATCTTGGAAGAGACCGTGAAATCATCGCTTGCGCTCAAAACCTCTCCACTGCAAGCAAGGGGGCCCAAAGTTGTGCTGCCGTCAGTGATCGCGATGGTGGGCGAGACAGCCGAGGAGCTTGTCTCGCTGTTTCTGAGCCTGAAGGAGATGGAGATCGACGCCTTTGAAGCCATGGCCTGGCTGAAACGAGCAATGAACTCACCGGTGGTGAAGTTCATGGAAGTGTTGGCGAGGAAAGAAGATCCCGCAACCAAGAGATCTAGATTACTCTGCTGAAGGCTCTTCAGGAACGAGATTTTGAGCTGTGCTCCCTGGCTGATAGCAGCAGTTGAGATCAGCTGAAAGGTCACGATGTTCAACAAGCCTCTTGCTTTGCTCGTCTCCGTTACAGTGTTGGTCAAGAAGCGAGGAGCATCGACAGATTGCAGGACCGAGCCAAACATGAGCTGGGGCAGGATGGTCAGCGCCGGGTATGGGCAAGTGCCACTCGAGCATGAGTACGATAGTGAGATGTAAATCTGCTTGCCAGGGTCATACTGGCTCGGATTGAGAAGCTGGAACGAGAGATAGATAGGGTCCTTATCATATGTCGTTCCTGACTTCTTCTTGATAATCAGAGTCCCCTCCTCTTGGCTCCAGTCCCCCGTCCCGCTGAACACTGCAGACGAATTGCCAGTCAGAGGCAGCGACTTAGTGGATGGAGTAGTTGAGTTGAAAAGCCCTGAGATGGTCAGGATTGTACCAGGAGGCAGCTCAACGTTAGTTTGCAATTGTACAGTGATGAAGTTGACTGTCAGAGCCGAGGTAACGTTATCCGATATGGTGCGGGTTGTAAACGCCGGTGCCTCCCAAGATGAAGGAGCGTTCCTGAAGGGGAGAGGCGTTGCGACTGCCGATCGAGTTCCTGAGGAGCTGAAGGTGTACGTGTCAAAGACGGACGACTCGTTGCCGTTGATGAACTCGAGATTGAACTCTGTCATGCAGTACTGAGAGAGAGAACCGTTGACGCGAAGTTTGACTGCGTTTGACTCGAGAGTCCAGCCCTCGAAGACTGACGGGTCCAGACTGGAAACGGAGAAGAGGGCCGAAGACGATTGATATCGATTCATCATCCCAGTGATAATCAGAACGCTGCCCGCGGTCAGGCTGACGGTGGGTAAGAGGCGAACTCGAACTATGTTCTTTGCATTCAAGATCGCGTTGCTCATTGTGATCTCCCAAGAGTTCCATGTGATGACCTGACCTGATCCCAACACAGTCCCGACCAAGGGAGTGGAAGGAATGTAGACGCTGCCTCGAGCTATAAAGAAAGCAGTGCGCGGAAGAATGCGATACTCTGCGTTCTTGAGTGAGAAACCGAACTTCACTCGTGTGTTTGCACTGATGTCTTCTTGTAGAGAGGCTGAGAAGGTGCCATAGCTGGACGACCATGCGCCCCCGCCGTTCAAAAGCATGCTGCTGCTATCCCCCGTTACAGCAAGAGTCCCGTCTGCCGACTGGGATCCCGTTAGACCATGTATCTCTATTGTAGAAGACTTTCCGAGCTTGTGATTGAGAATGAAGGAGAATTGAAGCAGGTTGTCTGCATTGACTATGGCGTTGTCTTCACTCACTTCACCGCTCAAGGCAAGCTTCAAAGATGAGCTCAGTATCGACGGATAGTAATTTTGCTTGTCGATAATCATGTTTTGCAGATCGTAGATGATAGAATCCGAAGTAGCTGCGATCAACGGAATAACCCCAGACGACGCAGTGGCTGCGTTCTGAACTTTGATGTAAAAGTGATACTCAAACGCGGCATCCATACAGTTGTCAGAGGTGTTCCATTTCAACGCCCCCGTTGCGGGAGTAGAGCAAGTGAGGAAAAGCTGTCCTTCGTTCGACCAGAAGGATGATTTGTTGAGGAAGGTGGTAGACGCAGGTCCATATAGCTCCATCTGATAGAAACTTTGAACCAAAAATCACTGCGTCGGTCAAGGTAAATCTGCAATGCTACAAACCTGCACACTGGGGTGGAAGTCTTGAAACAATCAGCGTTTGGATCTCTCACTTGGCATTTCATGGCTGATGCAACCCATCGCCCTGTCTCAATTCTCAACGTCGCAACGTATCACGAGCCATCAAGACCAACCTGCGGCGGATTGACATGTTGTTGGATCGCTCACGGTTGTGTTGTACCAGAAGCTCGTTGGACTCTGATGCATCCGACTCTTGTCAGTTGCATAGAAGAAGAAGAGGTAGGACACTCACATCTGTTCCCTTCAAGCCCGATATGGTGATAACACTCCCAATTGGGACATAGTAGTCCGGCTTCAACACAAAATGAATCTCGTTGACTTCGCCGCTGAAGCGAGAAAGCTCCCACGTGTTCCTTCACTTAGTGTAAGACTGCAAACTAGCATAGGAACAAGAAGTCAGCAAGAATCGTTACCTAATGATAAAGGAGTTAGGCTCCATTGCTGTCAAAACGACTGCCGTATACGAAAGGGCAGGATCTTCATAGATCATTTCAGGGCCCCAAGGACTCCCCGTAGGCGGAATAACGTTGATTGTAAGAGGGTTCAGCTGAGGTTGATAATTTGGAGGATTGCGCAGTTTCAGTGAGAAGCTAAAACCGCATGTAGCTTGTATCTGTTGAGTTAGCGAGCCAACCAGCATCGACGTTGAGGCGTTCCAACTCATTGAAGTTTTTTCAAAGTAAGCACTGGAAATGCCCTCAACCTGCCCACCAAACAGTGATGAGAAACTTTGTATCTTATCTCTAGCAAGACTGCTCTCACCTGCAAGGTAGAAGTCGGCATATGTTTAAGGTTCAACCCCCCAATCTCGATTCGAGAACCGTTTCCGATGGAGCAAGTAGGAGATGCACTGAAAGTGAGAACATTTTCGAGGTTTCGGACCTTGCTGGATTCGATCACCCATGTGTTTGTTCTGCAAGAACTCGTCGGCGAATCAAGGGCTGCTGCTGGGATGAATCCGATTGCTGCAATGTACATAAACACCCTGATCGTTCTAAAAGACATGGTGGGCTTCGCCCGCCGGTGATAGGTATGAAACGCAGCCAATAGCTTGTCCTCAGATCAATCGCACATTCTCGTCCTCAATGATGCAAACTCTCCCTGGAACAGTCCCCGGTCCAATTAGCAGTTGTGTCTTTTCCTTCCGGCGACTCCTATCCCCTGCTGGTCTCCTTCCTCCGCCGACTGGCACCTCCTCCAACGAGCTGTGAAAGGATGATGGCCTTGCTATTATCACTGTCTTCCTCCCCTTCTCCTTCCCCCTCCCCCTCCTTCTCGCGCCCTTCCCGCTGCCGTCCTCTGCATATCAACGGCTCGGATAGCCGGTTGACTAGCATCCGTTACACCGTGAAACCTGATCCAACAAAATCCGTTACACCGATTTTCGATCGTTACATAAGTCAATTATTGAGTAAAAATGCCAGTCTGCCTCAGCACGCGCCATGGAGGGAGAACCAACTAAGGACGATCAAGTAAGCTCCTCTCGTCCTCCTCCTCCTGCCGCCTCCTCCTGCCGCCTCCTCCTGCCGCCTCCTCCTGCCGCCTCCTCCTGCCGCCTCCTCCTGCCGCCTCCTCCTGCCGCCTCCTGCCGCCTCCTGATCCTCCTTCTCCTTCCTCTTGATCATCCTGCTCTCCCCCGTGCCTCTCAATCCACATGATCACTCGCAGTCACCTCCCGTCGCTTCTTATCCTCTTCGTCTATCCTCTTGACTTCACTTGGCTCTACTCGGTTTTATCCATCCATCATCGACGGCCTCTGCCTCAATCTTCATCCTTCTAAAACCGACAAACCACCCCTTTGCCCTATCCACCTCTTCTCTAGACGGGTAATCGCCTACCCAACATCTCCATCTCCCTTCAGACGTCATCTTTGTGTGGATCTCGATCGCTCCTGACGGGTCATGAAGCCAGAGCAGGGAGAGAATCTGATGGCAAAGAAGTACCTGCGGGCAGCCGCGAGGAGCTCATCGAAGCAGGAGGAGGAGGAGAAGAAGCAGACAAGCACTAGCAATGAAAGCACGTGACGCGTTCCTCCTCCTTTGCTACCTCGCCACCATAATGCAGCCGAGTACGAGCCTCGACTTCCAGAACGCGGTGGTTCTGGCGCCCATGGTGAGGGCGAGCACGTTGCCGCTCAGAATGCTGGCGTTGGACTATGGTGCAGACTTCGTGTGGACAGAAGAAATCGTTGCAAGGAAGATCGCCTTGTGCAGCAGATTCTTGAATGAACGTCTGGGAACCGTTGAGTTCTACTCTCCCGACGCTCCTCACTTCCGCGTCTTCCAGACTTGCGAGGCAGAGAGAGAGAAGGTTGGCCGTCCTGGGCTCACCTGATGCTGCTGACAGGCAGCAGGTCATCTTTCAGATCGGGACGAATTCAGCGCGTGAGGCACTTGAAGCTGCCATGGTCGTCGTGAACGTAAACGGCCGTGTTGTCAAGTGCGGTAGATGAGTCTGGATGGGGCAGGACGTTGCCGCAATCGACTTGAACATGGGCTGTCCCAAGCACTTCTCTGTGTCAGGAATAACCTTCACACCCGTGAGATGAAGAAGTGAATGTGAATGAGCAGGAGGGATGGGAGCGGCTCTCTTGTCCAAACCTGAGACTGCCGCCGATATCATCAAGACGTTGAAGAGGAACATCAACCTGCCTGTGACGGCCAAGATCCGGTAAGTCGACTGACGATTGGGAGGAGCAGAGAGTGACAGGAGCTTTTTCTATCAGACTCCTTAAGACGCGCTCAGAGACAGCAGAATTGATGAAACGACTCGAGAGTGCCGGAGTTGACGCAATCACCGTCCACTGTCGATATGTCGCGTGAGACGCCATAGCAGGGAGTTGCTGCTGCTCCTGACTTGATCTTAGTACGAGACCGCACGAAAGGGCTCTGTGGGAGGAGCTTGAGCACTGCGTTAGTGCTGTCTCTGTGCCTGTGATTGGTAAGTAGGAGCGGAGTTTCGAAACCTTCCACTGAGAGGATTTTGACAGGAAACGGAGACGTGCTGACGAGGAGCGACGGATTGAAGCTGATGGAGAAGTCGCGTTGTGCTGGCGTCATGATTGCAAGAGGAGTAAGGAATTCATGACCTGTTCAAAGTCTCATCTTCGCTTCAGGCTGTTGAGAATCCGTCTTGCTTCCGAAAAGAAGGCCTTCTCCCTTGTATGGTGCGCTATTCGAAGCCTTGGCGGTTGAGTGCTAGTGGTTGAAGTGCTTCAATGCATCAGGACTCGCTCAAGGCTCATTTGAAGCAGTGCATGCTCTATGAAGAAGTGAGATGAAATGCGTCACACAGCCGATGCTGACGTTCTTCTCGTCCCTTTCCTTTGCTACAGCCTCACCAGAACATCAAGTACATCTACAACAGATTCTTTTCGGAGGTGAAACTCGGGCCAACCCCTACAAGATCATCTTCCTTCGCCGCTACTACTTCCCACTTCCATCATCCTCCTCCCTTTCCACTCCTCTGCCCTTTCTCCTCCTCTTCCTCAAGATCGGTGCAGATCTGTGTGCCTGGCGGCTTGATCTTCAATCAAGTGCAACAATCCAAGTCTCGTCGCGAGATCGCTCAAGTCTTTGACCTCCAAAGCTTCTACGACGAGCTGGACGTGAGGCTGAGCTGGGCTCCAGCTGGAGACAATGACTTGCCTTGTCAGAGCCGACGAGGGAAAAGCGGGGAGGTCGAAGCTGAGGGATGGGGGAAGGGAAACCCCTCACATCATGAGTATGAGAGCGAGTTCCAACGACTTCCAGCAAAGAATGGGAACAAGAGGTGAGAAAGAGAACAGGGAGGGAGGAAAGACGTTGAGCTCTGGAGTTTCGTAGGATACGGGTGGACGATGAAGGAGAAGTGAAGGAGGTTCAAGAAGTGCCGAAGGTTTATTCTCGTGCTCATGACGGTGTTCTGGGCCAACCTGATTTGTCTTTCAGAAATTCGAATGCCAAGAATGTGGGGAGGTCTTTGCATCCAGAAACAAACTTTTCAAGCATGTGAGGAGCTCAGGGCATGACAACAGCAAGTGATAACTCATTAGTCTGAGCCACGAATGAAGTTTTTGATCCGTTGTAGAAAACAATTGGAACAGAAATAGAAAGCACACGAAAACACGAAAACGGGAAGAACTTGTTCAGGTTTTCCTGCTTGAGGAGGGGATACCGTGATCTAGAGTAGAATCATCGTAAAGCTGAAACCGAGTCTCTTGCCATGAAACGCCAGCTGAAGCCCCACCAAACTTGGCCACCAGCTGTTACAAGCGCATCAGCGTCCAATCTCCCACCTGACGCCCAACTGACCTGGATGACAGTTCCCACTGGCATGTCGAGAGCCCAGAACGGCTTCCCCTTTGAATCGCCGCTTCCCAGGAAGTATTCATACAGAATCTGAAAGAAAGTGAGAAGCAGAGACGGAGGGAGAGAGCGGGCGACTTGGAGGGTGGAGAGGTGAGAAATGACAATCACTGGTGAGACTTGTCGCTCAAGGTAGTCGACTATGAAGGGCTCCAGTCGTTTGGTCACATCCTGTAGCAGCAAGAGCAGGATAAGAAACAACTCTTCTCATGCAAGCACAAGGCTGTCCACACAGCTCAAGTTCGTCATACCTGCTGAGACTCGCCACCGGGCAGCCGAGCTCGACAAGGGTCTTTCCTCATCCGCTGTATCGCACTCAGACATTGTTTCCACACAAACACAGAAAGACCTCAAGCTGTTCCGGCCCCAACATTTGTCGGATTTCTCCCATTGTCATACCGTGACAAGCTCCCACCTAACATGCGACCATGAGCCAACTTCACAGGAGGAATCAGATGTATGACATCGACTGGATTGAGGGCACTGCAGAATTCAAGTCTTGAACCTCTGAAGACCTCACTGTGTACATCATGGTAAAGGGCACATTGATTCAATCGACTAAATTATCTCAAACCTGCAGATCCTTCCAGTCTCCATGGCTCCTACGAATAACCATCAGACTCTCCCGCAGATTAAGACAAAACTTTGGTAGGTCATACGCGGTAGAGTGCTTGTAAAGATATAAGGTTTTTCATCGCCTCTTTCTTGGCATCTTTTCTTTATAAAGTATCCTAGTCGTTCTGCAAGAAAATATATCAGTTCACATATACAAGCAACAAGCAACAAATCCACCTGCCATTCTCCTCCCTTCATCATTCAAGCTAGCTCCATCTGCAGACGGCTGCAAGTATAGTTGGACCATGAAAGTTTTGAAACAATCTTCTTCAGCGTACATGAGGTATGACTAGGTTGAGTGAGTCGGGGGAGCAAGGGGCCATGTCTTCGACAAGCGTTCTTGGAATGGAGGAACTTTGCGGCCAAGAATAATTCCCTGTTATCAAGCTGTCATCGGAAGATAAGCCGTCTGCCACACTTATACCAATAGAATGCTGTGTCGATCTTTCTGCTCTCTGCCACGAAGCCGTGCCTTTGAATTTTCATCAGCTTTCATTCACAAGCTGATTCCTCATATCAAACCAGCAAAAGAACCCCAGTAATCGTCCTCGTCTTCCGAGAGAATGAGCTCAGGCGGCTCAGATGAATTCCCTTCCTTTGTTCTGCTCACAAAAAATCAACTCTGAATGCAAGATCCCACCAACAGGAAAAATAGCAGAAGAGAAAGAAGCAAGATGGGTCATCAAACCCAAACAAAGGTCGTCTACCTGACGTTGTCTACATGATGGCTGGAGACCTTGTTTGCCGGACTAATGGGTGAAGAAACAGGCCTGTCACGAGGCATACTCTTCGGGGATTGCAACTGATGTGCAACAACTCCTGGATGACAAGATCCCATGTAAACATGAGGGTCAACATCCACCTGTACCATGACGCGTCAGGGAGGAGGAGAATCGTAAACACCCATTCAAGTAAGTTACCGGCCCTGGTCGGACAAGCCAGACTGGTCTCTCGAGAACATGCAAACTCATGAGAAATGCAAGTATACGATGCTGCAAAGAGAGGTACGTTCAGAGTCCACAACCATCCTAACCCTCGCAACACACGGCAGATAGGAGGGAGAACTTTGGATACAGTAGAGTTTCTTCTACACAAGAAAGCCATTCCTTTACCTGTGTCCTTCCATGTATCTTGTTGCAAACAACTTTTGATGACAGGTTGATCACCTGATGTTTCTCAGTTTCAACCAACATCAAAACTGGACGTCGAAGAATACCTTAATATACGATAAAGAATCATCACCAATTGGGCGATATATCTGCTCGTACTTTCTTATTCTTTCGCTAAACTCAAATCGAGCCTGTGCACATCGTTCAGCCGGACAGCACGTCGAAAACATAGAGATGCCTTTTCGGGATCAATCCCAACAAAGTCCGGGGAGCTGCTGACTTTGTGCTGTAGACAGAAGTCAGCATCCATGCAGAGGAGACATGGCTTGCAGGAACATCTTCACATTATCATAAAGGAGAAAGGACACGACAAATCACAGGTTCATATCGAACCTTCAGGTTCGCTTCAAGAACTTTAGGATCATCACAGATTGACTCGATGAACAGCACTTTGATGTCACTAGAGTATGTCAATGCACACTCCAGGACCATCCTTCTTCGTTCATCTGTCGTATTTGTAGCATCGAAAATCCCAACGTCTCCCTCTCCCAAAACCAGCCATGAAAGCAATTCGTTCAAGACAGTCCATGCGAGGTTTTCCCGCTTCGCAACAGCGTCCTTGTTATTTGCATCGAAGAATTCCGCGTCTTCATTCCCGCCAACAGCCCTCCTGTATGCTCCAACATTGAATACCTTGGTTCTCAACCCATACCATGTCAGATAGTTCGTAAGGCGATGGGAAATGAACGATTTCCCCCTTGCCGGGAGGCCAACCATGACAATGAGCAGTCGCTTCCTATCATCCCCCAGAAGGGACATCCTGTCCGGATCAGACTCATGCAGACCGGGGGGGATGAGGAAAGAAGAGGAGGAGGAGGATGCGTTGCCATGTCCTGGGGACGAAGGTGCCAGCAGCTCCCGCAGTATGTGCGAAGCCGACAGCCATAGCTCCCCCATGTTCGCCCTTGACTACCCCAACCCCCCTCCTTCCCTGAAAATGGACCCACCCTTTCAGCTCCACCCCCACAACATTAGATGACTACCCCTACCCTCTAGAGTAAAAGTTGACCCCTACTGCTTCCTCCATCTCGGGGAGTAGTACCCCACAGAGACAGAAGTTCACTTTGTTGGACCGGTACTCCGGAGAGTGCTTTACTCCAGGTTACTCAATAATAACTAATAATGGTACTAGATTTACTACCCACCCCAGAGAATCTCTGCCTTTTCACCCCACCTACAGTCCTATACCCCTACCCTCTGAGAATGGGACGGTACAGGACCCGCCACCACTACCCACCCCTGATCAAACACCCTTCTTGTCCACCCCTTCTTTTAACACGATTTCCCGTTCTATGGACCCCATTTTCTAACATCCCCACCCCCTCATTTCAGAATTCACTACCCCTATCTCTCCCGTGTCAAGTTCCCATCTACACCCGCTTCCCTGTGATAGTATAAAAACTCCGAGTCTCTGCCCGGAGTCACCGGCGGGCCCGGGCTGCCCGGCGGTGGCCCGCGGCGGCCCGGCCGTATGTGCAGTGCTGGCACTGAAGTAGTACCGTAAACCCTTGACGGACCGTGTAGCGGCTTGCCCGGCCCAAGGAGAAGGCATCCGGCGAGACGGCCGGGCGCAGGCGCCCGGCTCAGACTGTCGGCTGACTCGGGCGCTTCAAACTCAGTTGGCAGGCTTGACTCCGTGAAGCACCCATAGTGATTTTTCACTCAAAGTTAAGTTAAAAATCAGCCCATAGTGACTTTTCACTCAAAGTTAAGTAAAACAATGAGCCCATAGTGCCTCGTACTGATTTTAACTTAACTTTGAGTAAATGAATGTCTCGCCAAAGTTTTTTTTCGCGTTGGACTCTGGTTGACCTCCGGGTTCCGACTTCGCCGCCGATATGTACCCGAATCCTCCTAGCTCACCCCTCCTAATCAGAAGTCTGAGTGGTAAATGAGGGGTAGGGGGTCAATAACACCCCCCCCCCTTGACCCAAGGAAGGAGGGACTCGGTGGCTGGTTTGTTTTGACGGACGCGGAGTATATCCGATATCCGAGAAACAGAGCTATCAATGCATGCCAAGCGTAAGAGCGGGAAATGGAGAGGGAGGAAGGGAGAAGATGGAGTGTTTTGACGATAAGGAGACTTCTCCTAGTCATGATGTTCACTAAATGATTTCCACAGGGTGTATGAAGATGACTCAAGACATACGCCAGGATCGCAGCGAATTTTCACAATTTCTCGTTCCTAAGAACGCTTCTTTACTCGAAGAAGTTTTGTCTCTAAGAGAACAGGTTACCTCACTGAAAAATACCCTTCAGATGATATACACGAGAGAAAACAACCAACTAGCACGAAAAGCAAAGAAGGTTATTGGTTTTTGGATTAGGAACAGTATGATGAAATCTTTCCATTCTTGGAAAAATATTGCAATTACCAGCAAACGAATGGCGATCATCATGGCCAGAGTGTCAAGGCGATGGGTCTATCACGCGGTAGATCCTGCCTTCCAAGCTTGGCACGCGAATTCCAAGCAGCAGATGCGCACAAAGCAGCTCGGAGCAAGGATTGTGAAGCATTGGCTCCGACGCTCGCTTGCTACAGCCTTCGATGGGTGGCATGAGCATGCTGGCCAGCTCAAGCGTCAGGGAGAGCTTTTGACTACGATCACGAGGCGATGGGTCTATCACGCGGTAGATCCTGCCTTCCAAGCTTGGCACGCGAATTCCAAGCAGCAGATGCGCACAAAGCAGCTCGGAGCAAGGATTGTGAAGCATTGGCTCCGACGCTCGCTTGCTACAGCCTTCGATGGGTGGCATGAGCATGCTGGCCAGCTCAAGCGTCAGGGAGAGCTTTTGACTACGATCACGAGGCGATGGGTCTATCACGCGGTAGATCCTGCCTTCCAAGCTTGGCACGCGAATTCCAAGCAGCAGATGCGCACAAAGCAGCTCGGAGCAAGGATTGTGAAGCATTGGCTCCGACGCTCGCTTGCTACAGCCTTCGATGGGTGGCATGAGCATGCTGGCCAGCTCAAGCGTCAGGGAGAGCTTTTGACTACGATCACGAGGCGATGGGTCTATCACGCGGTAGATCCTGCCTTCCAAGCTTGGCACGCAAATGCAAAGAGACAGAAGAGAATGGATCAATTAGGGTTGAAAATAATTTTGAGCTGGAAATTCAAGTCCCTCTCCAAGGTAATGAGAAGGTGGAAAGTTTTCAGGACACACACAAGTATGGTGATGAACAACTCCCGACGAATATTTGCATACATCAGTGGACGAGTGAAGGAGAGTGCTTTCTTCAGTTGGGCAGACCACACACTACAACATTCTAAGTTAGACAAACATCTAGCTATGATCGCAAAAGAACGTCTAAAATCACGTCCGAAGCTCAAACGATCAAAGTCTGTGCCAAGTATGGACCGAAGGCATGTCGACAGACTTTATGCAGCGCTGGAGACACGATGGTGAGCGATATCAACTTGTCTAGGGATTTACTGAGAGCTCGATCAGGCTAAAAAGAGCAGACGAATGTTGGGACAGCATAGAGCTTAAGATTCTGAAGCACATTGAAGCCTATGATCGCAAATACTGCACAAAGAAAAACTCGGAAATGATAGGTCTTCTTTAGCTACAAGTGTCTACTCTCTTGTTGACTTGGTGTTGCAGGGGGCCATCTCTTCGATCATCGTTACCAGAAGGCAGGGATGGAACCTTTGAAGTACAAGGGACAAGAGCAGTCTGAATGCTCTCTGACCATCTTTATCTCTTCAGGTTTCCGGAGACCATCCCTTCACTGATGGGATCTGTGGTCGTCGGGTTGCAGCATGGGATACAGTCAGACCAGGCTGCAATGTGGAAGACCGAGAAGATGGAGCTTCGGGTGAGAGAGCAGGCTGGTCTTATAACACCTCACCAGTTTCCACAGAGGTACTGTTCCCATCTAGAAACCATCAACAACAGGCTCATCATCGAAAAGGTATACGAGATGTGCGTTACCTCAACCTTTGTTTCACTTCTGAGCAGATTGACTCGTGTAAGCAAGGGCGTTTGTTTTTCTGGTGAGCAGAATGGAGCCTGAAAGGGCTGAGTGCCAAGTTTTCACCGTTGTACACGGCGACATTGTCAAGTGGTCCGACGTATCCAACAGAGGGATTCAAAGAGATATCAATCAGGTTGGATCGTGGGATGAAAGAAGCCGAAGAGGCTTGCGTTGGCTTCATGACACGTGGACTGCTGGAATCATACATGGCCAGTTGTTCTCGTAAATTCGTGTGATCAATAACATGTGAAGTCTAACTCTCGGAGTGCTGGAAGACTGAAAACTTGATACTCTGTCAGCTCAATTTTCCCAAGTCTCCCCTTCCCACTGGCTACGTTCTCCTCATCCTCTCCTCTGCTTCTCCATCATCTGCTTGCATCTTTTCCCAGGTTCTTGTTTCCCTGGCTATCTCCTTCCTGTAAAAGAATTTAGCTAAATATTCGTGACATGAAGAAGAGGGGGTAGTAAATACTGGGTAAAAGAGGGGTGGTCAAAGACATGGGGGGTTTGACAAGTTCGTTGGTCAACCACGGCAGGAGATGGCAGAAAACGAGAAGGCGAAGGAGGAGGAAGAGGAGGAGGCGAAGGAAGAGGAGGAGGCGAAGGAGGCGAAGGAGGAGGAAGGCAACGATGATGCTGACAACGATCACTTCAAGGAGAGGAACGAGTGGTGGAGCTCGATCTGAAGGATCAGGAGAAAGTAAACAGCAAAACGGCAAGAAACATACAAGGGGGGATGGCATCGTTGGCTAGTCCGTGAGGAGGGAGAGGAAGGAGTAGCCTTGAGACGATGTCTTCTCCTGTTGCACATCGGGAGGAGAAGGAGGGTGAGTCTGCCAACGATGATGTGCTCACAGAAGCAAACAATCTCCCAGCAGACGGTATTGAAGCAACTATGCAAGATCAGGGGGCCCTTGAGCAAGAGGATACGACTGTACAAGGATTTAACCTAGAAGAAGAGCAGGAGAATGTCGATCAGGATGGTCAAGAAGAACAAGACATCATGGACCATGTAGACAGGGTGGACAAAAAGCGCATTGATTGGAGACAACGGCTGATTTCCGTGCAGAATTCCTGGCAATGGCTGAGGGAACGGAGCAGGAGATTACGAAAAAAGATACGATATCATGCTTTCTTCCTTCTCGTCTCCATCGCAAGCTCGATCTCTCTGCTTCTTCGCCTCACCATGACGACATCATCAATCTACTGGTTGAATCCTTTCTTCCTGTCGGACGTCGTCGCTGCTGTACTATTCACACTAGATGTTCTCATCGGTGTGATTGCATATGGCTTCTGTTCACATCCGGAGTCTTACTTCCGCATGAACCTCTACAACAAGGTCAGAAACTCTCTCTCCTCCCGTTCAAGTCGTTCTCCTGTTCTCGTCTATCACCGAGTCTTTAATTTCGGTCTCCTTCTTATCCTGCTTGCAGATCGATACACTCGTTGCAATCCTCATATGGCCAGAGATTGTACTCAGGATCTTTGGCTTCCGCTTGTCTTTCCGTACTCTCAAGATATTCCGCATCTTCTTCATCATCTCCAGAACCCGCGCGCTCCATCGCGTGCAGAGCATCGTCTCCTCCCTCGCGCAGGCCACGGCATCTCTGGCAGCCACCACCTTGCTCCTTGTCGTCGGGCTGCTCGGATTTGCTGTGGTGAGTGAAGATGTTCTGTTCTGTGTTAGCGATCTTTGACGGTGCTGAAACGCAACAGATGGGTGTGGAGTTGTACATGGGTTCGGTGAACAGGTTCTGCTACTGGATGGACACCCAAGACTTGGTGGTCCCAGTGAGGAACTGCAAGGCTGTCCGGGGTCCCTGGAGATCTAGCTGTTCCTTCATGCAGGAGTGCAAGGGGTCGGCTGAGAGCTCCGGGCACATCTCCTTCGATGACGCGCTCCTGGGATTCGTCACCGTGTTCCAGGTTGCGTCGATGGACAGCGCCTATGCGGTCATCCATACTTTCTTGCAGTCAGAGCCAGCCTTCAAGTTGTTGACTTGGTTGTTCTTTATCGCAATCAACGCTCTGTTCAGCATCATCGCGTTCAACATGTGAGGCTTTCACGGCCATGACGATGAGTTGCTTCATGTGGACTATGTTTCTTTGTGTTGGTCGTGGTGTTGACCACGGCGGTGTAACTGTGAAGTGACGTGTGTTCACAGGTTCACCGCGATTATCTCGAGCTACTTCCTCCTGGGCCTTGGAGGAGACAAGAAGGATCAGGACGAGCAACCGAAGGGGAAGGGGAACGCAGTCTTCCCGCTCAACGGCGACAACCCGTTCCAGGCAGAGGCTGAACGCGTCAAGACTCAATCCGTCAGGATTCGACGCACCCGCAGCGGGAGGACCCAGTCTCGTCAGGCGTCCAGAGGCTCCAGGAGGATGGAAGAGGAGCAGGACGACGGTCTCAGCCTGTCCGACGTCCTTGAGAGTGACATCTGGAAGCTCTCGCTCGACTTCCTTATCATAGTCAACACCCTCACCTTCCTCATCTGGAATGACGTGCCCTCAACTAGGGTCCGAGCTGTCTTCGAGTACATCCAGGACGTGACCTCCTCGCTCTTCCTCCTTGAGATCGTCCTTCGCGTCTACAGCGCGGGGGCAGTCTGGCAGTTTGCCAAGGATCCGACGAATCTCTTTGACGCCCTAGTCACCGTCGTCTCGTCCGTTGGGCTCTTTCTCCAGCTAGCCTCCGCCTCCTCCGCCTCCGTGCAGACGTGGAAGTCGATCTCAGTTATTCGCCTCCTCCGTACTTTGATGCAGCTCAGCCACACCAGGCAGATCCTCATCCTTGCAGCGAAGTCGATCCCCGTTGTCTTCAACCTGATCATCGTCATCGTGGTACGTCTGCAAACCTGGTGAGATGCGATCCTGGTCTGACTCGTAGAGCTTGACAGGTTGTTCTCATGATGTTCTCGATCGCTGCGATGGACCTGATCGCAGGAGGAAAGAACGGGAGCAACGCCTACTTCGACAACTTCCCGACTTCAGTGCAGAACCTCGTGGAGATATTTGTGACTGACTCGTGGACGAGTATCATGTGGGGAAGCACCACCGACTCTTGTCTTGAGAGCACCGAGTGTAACTCCAAGTTCAACGACACGGTCGCGCTGGTCCTGCTGCTGCTCTTCTTCTTCCTCTCTCAGTTCGTCTTGTTGGCCCTGTTCATCGCAGTGATCCTTGACAACTTTGGAAGTGACAGCCTTGATGTCAGCGATAGTGACAAGACAGCCTTCGAGAACTTTCTGCAGTTTGCAAGGATGAAGGTTGACGCGATGAGAGGAAAGTGAGTCGAGTGAACTTTGACGCAGATGAAAGCAGCAAGAGCAGCGCTATGGAGGACAGCAAAGGCTTGCTTCAAGAAGTGAGTGCTCGTTTTCTGTTGTTCAAATCTCAGCTTTCTTGCTCCCCTCGTTTCACTCCTGCGCTCTTCGAGCTTCTCTCAAAAATCTCCACAGGAAGGACAAGACGAAGATCAGGATCGAAGCGATGTCGGCAGAGGATTTGCTGCTCAACGAGACGTACCTCAAACAGTACAACCTGTCATGCCGGATAGACACGTGCAAGGATTACTTCGAGACCCAGATCGCTGACGATTCCTCGGCTCCGAGTTGGCAAGCCAACAATGTTTATGTCTTCAACTATGAGGGAAACTCGATGGTGGTACCTCTGCGCGTCATCATACTCAACAAACATGTGATCGAAAATCATGAGCTGGTGGGAGTTGGTTTCTATGCTCTAGATCTCGAAGCATTGCGCAAAGATGGTTTTGCTATGGAGGAGGAGTCAAGCCTGGAAGTGAAGATCGATCTCTACGAGAACGAAGAGCATGCTTGGAACATCTTTACGGAGCAGAATGCTGACGATGACAGTGAAGAAGAAGTTGAAGCGTGCGGGTCATTCATCTTCAATGTTTCTGTCTCCTCTCAACCTCGCCAGATTGCAAAGGAGGCGGAGATTGCAAGTGCTGAGGACAAGAACAAAACTGTCGATGATCAAGACAACCAACACGAGGATCCTGTAGATCAGGCAGATTATCCGCACCCGCCAGCAGAGCCTGTTGAGGACAAGGACCAAACTCCTGCTGCAAACCCTCAGAAGGATGCTTTGCAGGAGATGAGGCCGAAGACTGGTCTCCACAAGCTGATGATGAGGGTAGTCACCTCCAGAGCGAGTAAGTCCTTCATCTACATGCTCATCTTCTTCGATACTATTCTGTTTTCCCTCCATGCTCCTCCCGGCATGAGCTCAAGCATGTCCAAGGCCCTCTTCACTGTCCTCGACTTCATGATCGACTTCTTGTTCTGGCTCGAGTTCGCGCTCAAGGTGGCAGCGTTCGGGCTGTTCGGCCGACGTCTTTCCTTCTCGCAGGACTTGGAGGACGGGCAGGTGGTGGTGAAGGTGCACAAGACGCTGATGAGAAGCGGGTCCAACATCTTCGACCTCCTCGTCCTCGTCTCCTCCATCGGAAGGATCTTCAAGGTGTTTCAGCTCGACAAGGTGGTCGGCTCGGGCCCTATGTTCCTCTTCACGCTGCTGAGGAGCCTCCGACCTGTCCGCCTTGTCCTGGGGAGCAAGTCGATGAGGGAGATCGTTTATACCATCGTGACAGGAGCAGCGGAGGTTGTGGAGGTCATCATCATCCTCCTGGTCTTCTTCCTCATCTTCTCGGTCGTCGGCATGGGGATCTTTGCCGACAAGTTCTTCCGCTGCTCGGATTCCGAGATCGCCCTCCTCCGTACCGTGGGGCCCTTTCTCAGTGATAGGGCCAACTGTGTGGGTTCCTTCTCCTACTCGTCCTCCTCCTCTCCCTACCTCCTCCCGCGCTCTTGGTGGAACCCACAGCACAGCTTCGATGGCATGACGGAGAGTCTGACGACGCTATTCCGCGTCATCACACTCAAGTGGCTCAACCCGCTGACCGACGCCATGGCGGCAACGGAGGTTGACATGCAGCCTGAGCAGAACCACCAGAGTGCGAGGATGCTGTTCTTCCTCGCCTTCATCCTGTGCGGCACCTACTTCGGTCTCAACCTCTTCGTCGCCATCATCACCAACTGCTACTTCAAGGCGACGCTGGGGGGAGCAGGCTCTGAGGAGGAGATCGAGTGGATCGCCGTCAAACGCATGATCCTCGGCGCGAAGCCTGCTCGCGTCTGGCCGCCTCCTCGCAACTTCCTCTCCAGGTTCTTCCGTCGGGTTCTCCAGCACAGATTCTGGAACCTGCTCATGCTCTTCCTCACCTGCGTCAACTTCGGCCTCATCTGCTTCCACAACCTCTCCTCCTCCTCCTCCTACCTGCAAGGGCTGGAGGCCTGGTCCGTTCTCTTTCTCGTCTCCATCCTCGTCGAAGATTTCCTCTCCCTCCTCGCCTTTGGGATCCCAACTTGCCTTAACGACGCGCTGTTCTGGCTAGACGCCGTCGTCCTCACTGCCATCCTCTTTTCTTCCGCCGCTTCTGGCAGCATGAAAATCTCCTTCGGGGTCCTCCGCCTCCTCCGCCTCCCCCGCCTCCTCAACTACATGCAGGTCAAGAGCTCGTACGCTACAGCTGGGGCAGTGCTGGAGACCTATTTTCTCTCTCGCGGGGAGTTCATGAAGATCATTATCCTCCTCTCGGTCCTCCTCTGGATCTTTGCGTCCGTCAGCTCGCAGGTGTTTGGGGACATCAAGTTCGGAGCAAGGATCAGCCAGACCGCAAACTTCGCCTCCTTCCCAGCAGCGTACATGACGCTCTTCCAGATCCTCTTCGGCGACGAGTGGAACCTGATGATGGACGACTGCCGGGTCGCGTTCCCCTCCTGCACCAGCTGGAAGCTCGGGTACCGCCTTCCTTCCGGGGACACCTTCGACGACTGCGGCTCCTCCATCTCCCCTGCCTTCTTCATCCTCTTCAAGATCGTCGTCGACTTCGTAGTGATGAAGCTCTTCGTCGGCCTCATCGTAGAGAACTTCTCCTTCTGCAGGAGCCAGGCGCAGGAGGAGGGCATCCTGTCTAACGACTACATCCGCACCTTCACTGTCGTCTGGCTCAGGTTTGACCCCTCCCGCCTCGGCTGTATCAAGTTGCGAGAGCTGTACTCCTTCATGCTCCAACTCCCTCCTCCTCTCGGCCTTGCCGGGAGTTCCAAAGGATACAACCTGCAGTACCTACCTGTCAGGACGGAGCTTTCCCTGCTGTCCTCCCACAGGGTCAAGATCTCTCAGCATGCAGCTGATAGCAGGACAGGCATGCGGCTGCTCGGGCTGCAGGATCGTCTGTTGACTGCCCGTGTGGCATTGAGCGCGGGGAGGGTAGGGCTGAAGAAGGATGAGAGGATCTTTGAGCTGGTGGACGACTTTGAAGATCCGGAGACGAAGGAGAGGAGGGCGAGCCGAGGAGACTTTGTGGTGGTCAGGACAGAGGACTTCTACAAGAGGAGCGAGAAGGCAGGAGAGAAAATCGCTGTCCTCCGAAACGGCAAGAGGATCCGCTTGCCAAGAGAGCTTCTCCGCTGGACCAGGATGCCAGGGGAGGAGCTGTGGACCTCCACGGTGCAGGACGCGGGGAGGAGGAAGTTTTCAAGGAGGGAGAAGGAGGCGGCGGTGAAGATTCAGCAGTGGTACAGAAAGGTCATCGAGCACAGGAAGGAGACAGTGCTTCGGAACGTGCACCGAGCTCGAGCACGGGCAAGGCAGATGCGCCAGAACATGGAGGTAGTAGAAGCAGGAAGCAAGTTTGGCACAGCAGATGAAGAGGATGATGATGATGAGGAGGAGGAGGAGGAGGAGGAGGAGGAGGAGGAGGAGAAGAAGGGGAGAGGGAGGAGGAAGGCCAGAGGATCCGAGGAGAACACCAGGGAGGAAGCCGGAAGCACGTTTGTCGGGAGTGAACCTGGTTGGAAGTTTGCCCGGCGCCTGGAGATCTTGATGCTGAGAGCGATGATCTCTTTCCTCGTCCTCTTCCTGCGACCGGGGACTTCCTTCGAGCCCGAGGTCCCTCCTGACGCGATCTACTTCGAGGAGATCTGCATGTCGCTGGTCTACTGGCACAACAAGGACAAGTGTCCTCTCAGCCAGAGGAAGAGGCGAGAGAAAATCGACGACCAAGTCAAGTCCTTGCAGGCCTTCCACATCATCTCCGCGTGGTACCTGGGGTGGAAGAGGAGGAGGATGCAGAAAGCAGCTGTTAGAGCCGACAGCTTGCTGGTTGACGACGCCCCTCCCTCGCCCGTGGAGGAGGAGGCGGCTCGCCCGCCGCTGACGGAGGAAGAGCTGCAGGCCGAGATCGATCGAAGAGTCTCGGAGGTGGTGGGGGAGCTGAAGACTGAGACGGAGAGTCTGAACAGGACGGCGAGGATCATGAAAACTGAGAACGACCTGCTGAACTGGACGATACAGGATCAGGAGCGGAAAATCGAGGAGCTCAAGGCGCAGGTCGCTGCGAGGAACGAACAGCTCTGGAGGATGAAGGAAAAGGAGATGAATCGCTCCAGCGATATACCCGAGCTGGCCCTCCCTGCTCAGCCCGAACTGCCTCCTCTCCCTGGCCTCGTGGTGAGCGAAGGGACAGGTCTGCAGCTCGGGAGCAGCGAAGGTCGAGGAGGGAATGAGCAGGGAGCCCGGTCGAAGTTGTACAACGCGGCCAAGGCCACCCAGAGCATGCAGAAGCTCGCGTCGTCCTCCCCTTGGAAGCGGGAGAAGAAAATCCTGCAGGAGATCGAGGAGCACAAGGAGGCCATCCAGGCGCTCTCCATCCAGGTCAAGCTCGCCAAGCACGAGCAGCAACAGACTGTGAGCTCCGCTTCCTATCACACCTCGAGCCCTCAGACGTGCCACTAACTTCACTGACCTTGACAGGCTCCAGAGGTCCGAGCTCGAGTCGAGCTGAAGCCGAGGTTGCCAGCATGCTTGTCAAGTGCCACGAGGCTCGCTGACTCGGAGGCTTGAGCAGGACGGAACAAGTTCACAAGGTGCAAGGGCTGGACCTGGCGGCATCCCACAAGCAGCAAGAGGTGAGATGATGATCGGATCGGATCGGACTAAACGGCTGACTCGGACTGTGACGCCGCAGCATTCGGAGAAGAGGAAGCGAACTCAACGGGAGAGCCCGATGTGGAACTAGTAAGTTCGGCCGCCGGGCCGCCGGGGTCCGGACTCCGGACTCTGGAGGACTCCGGGAATGAAGGAGTCGGTCTTCCAGTCAGCTGAGGCGGGTCCGTTCGGTTGTACCCACCCCCGATTTTCCCCTGGGGAATGTGCGGCAGGCAAAGGGGGAGACACGGTAGAGAGGTAGGGTTGTAACAGGAGAGGGCAGATGGAGTAGAGGGGGTTCGGGGTGGCTGTTCTGGCAGTGCAGGGAGGGGGAGTATCACAATAGGGAGATAGGGGTACTATCACAGGGTTTTAAAGGGGGTCCTCTGTTAAATTATCAGGAATCACCCCTCAAATTGCACGGTAGTCGACAGACATATGGAGGGTAGACCACACAGTAGGGGTAGCAAACTTTGCCAGGCGCAACAGTGGGTCCAAAAAACTGGGTAGGGGTAGTGAAAGGTCGCATCTCGTTAGAAGCATCAGCAACGAAACTAAGTCTTTTCGAATTATTTTGAATACCCACCCTCTGAAAATATGCTCAAAATTCAGGATATGAGGAGGGTTGGGGGTCAAGATCGGGTTGTACCATCGAGTCGGTTTAAAAAAACATTCGAGGGTAGTAATGACCTTTATAAATATATAGTTGTTGATTTAGGTACAAAATAAACTTCTGGTACAATTGTTAGTACCGTACCTCTGGAACCTTCCAACCAAACGAGGCCTTGAAATGGTGGGTAGGGTAGTTGTTGTGAAATTAGGGTCTTCTTGCTACCGAACAGTTTGATATTTGAATACCAAAATTTGAACAAGAACATAAAAATTGACCAACATTTGTACCATGTCTTTCAATTTTTTCCAAAAGGCTCTTGAATACCCTGGAAGGGAATGGAGGGGTTGTTGTCAGTCTGACATGGTGTAAGTATCGGGATGGAATCCGGCACGTGGGAGGTGGGGTAGTTCAAATGCTGGGGTAGGGGTACTGAGGTTCAAAATTGACACGACGGATTGTGTGGGGAATATCAGAGAAATACAAGGGTGGGGTAGTATGAGTGTGGGGTTGCAACGAGCACGGGGGTTGGGGTGGTAGAGGGCGTAGGAATGATGACATGAGAGCGCTTCGTGGCGGGATTGTGCATCAGGGAATGTTTGAAAGACGAGAAGGAGGGAAGGATAGTGGAAGAAAGGCAGGGAATGCAGGATCTAGAAACTAATGTGGGCAACGAATGAAGTGAACACGAGAAAGGGTTAAAGAGATGAGAAAGGAATGAGATTTGGCGGCAAAGAATTGATTTGGGTTGAAGGAGGGAGGCTGGATGCATGATTAGTTATGTGGATTCCAGAGCTACGACATAGTTTTTGAGGATTCGAACATCATTCATGCTGGAATAGTATCGTGCAAGAAAAGGAATGAAAAAAACCAATACGGAGGAGGATTTCTGGGGTTGTGTCCAATGTAAAGATATGACTGATTCAATGAGAGGGCGAGAGAGGATTTGAATTGAAAGGGAGTCGGGATATAGACATTATGATGCAGCAAGAATATGTTGATGCAAGTGAATGTTGATGCTAGTGAATGATCGTAAAGGGACAGAAATAGATTAAAAGATTCGATGTTATGAATTGATGTACTACTTAGAAATGGTCCTGCGTGATTTACAACTTAGAAATCGGTCCTGCGAAAAGAAAGGAGGATATATGGCAAAACAGTGCTGTCATTATAAAAAGGTTCAAGAAGCATGATAACAAGACGATCCAATGAAGAAGGTTGTAAATCTGATCACGTGTCTGGTTTTCAGGTTGACAACAATTTCTTAGTCCAAACATGTCGTCCCTTCCTCCTTACCAATATACTCTAGCAGAGAAGACATTCTCAGAATTTGTAGGCTGCTTCATCGTCAGTGCTCTTTCACTTGGCTTAGTTGTGAACCATCATTTGCCCGGAACGAAAGGGCATGGCTATGAATATGGCTTCATTGCGCTTGGTTTCGGTTTATCTTTCATTTTCCCCATGGTGATGCTCAATCACATTAGTGCAAGGTTGAATCCTGCCTCCATGGTCGCCTTGTGGGTTGCAGGATTGACTCCTTTTTCGCATGCTGTCGTCATGTCGATAGCGCAAGTCATTGGTTGGTTTTGTGGCTCCGTTCTGGTGTTTGGCTTATATCTCCCGCATTTCTCCACCGTTCCCAAACCTCCAAAAGAGGAAGAGGATGATGACTTTGCGATGAGGAGAAGTGCAGGACCCAAGGCACGTCAAATTGCGTCTGCAACGTTGAGAGAAGAAACTGATTTCAAGAGAGCTTGCTCAAGCCCATTCAAGATGAACAGAAGCGAGAGCATTGAGCAACGCAAGCTGCGATCGCTGGAGACCTTGGCACATAAGCTTGAGGAGAAACTGATGAAGAAGAATCTGCCTGCAGATATGCTACAGCGGTACCGAAGAGAGAAGACCATTGAGATCGCGGTGACGCAGCAGGCAATCAGGCAGCTTAGCGGATCCTTCCGAGTTCCCACACTGGAAGAGATTGCAATCCGACTCCCGAGCAATGGAGAATGCAAGTCACAAGCAAGCAGCGAGAGAGAGCTCAAATTTGATCCCAATGGGAAGAGCTGCAACGACAATGTGGACAATCTTGATGAGAACGAGACGATGAACGAGCGTTTGGTTTTGGACACAAAGATTGATGAAGAGCCTATCAAGAGAAAGATAACAGAGAAGATGGCAAAGCTCAATGAGGAATATGCCAAGGCTCTGCATGCAGATAAGAGAATCAAGCTTGCCTCGTTCGGAACGACTCCAGCCATCCCCAACTTCTTCTTCAATGCCATCCAGGAATTCACTGCCACAGCCTTCTTGACTTGGGGCAACTTGATGATGGCAGAGAAGGCTTACATGATGCCTCCTGAGGAGCGAACAGTCTACACCAATGTCGTCGTCCCTGCTCTTATCGGCCCGTGGATCTTCGTCCTCATTCTCGCTTTCGGAGGCAACATCAACCCCTCCATGAACCCAGCACGAGATCTTGGTCCCCGCATTGCGCACACCATCCTTCCTGTTCCCGGCAAGGGACCCAGCGACTGGTGGTACGCTCCGTGCATATATATGGGAGAGCTTGCTGGAGGCGCGATGGGTGGGTTCCTGTACTTGATGCTGAACAGCATGAACCATAGCCAATGGAATCGTACATGAGAAATTTCGTTGACTCACATCTACGATTTCGGGAGACGGGAGGGGTTTGATTGGATTATCTTTCTATTGCATTTTTCCGTAAGATTGATTGAACCGATTAAGAGATTGTAATCATTTCTCATGATTGAATAATAGACGTCTACCTGCTAAGGTAGAGACTCTTGAGCTGCTCCACGATAATGAAGCAGAAAACCGTGTGCCCTCCGCAGCGAAGATAGTAGGGCCAGAAGCTTCATGCTCGTTAGACATGCTCATCTCACAGACCAGTCAACTCACCCATTCCAAAGTGAAAGAACTCCTTCAGTCTTAGCGATAGTGCCGATGGTCTACAGAAGTGAACAAGTTAGCAACACTTCTTGTCTCGAATCCTTCGCTCACTTGGACAGTCGAGCGGTAAGGTAGCAACTTGGTCACGGGGTCGGGTCTCTGAGCAAAAATTAGTAATTCTTGGGGAGGAAATTAAGTAGGAGGGCGAAACCTGCGAAGCCATCCTGTTCTTGGCGGTTTCGAACGGCATCGTAACAGACGCATAAAACCTGTTCAAAAAGGTTCATTGCAGGGATAAGAACTGGCACCAACTCACAGTCCAGAAGTCATTGAGGCACAGAACACGTTAGAGAATTTGCCAGTAACTCCGAGCTGGTTGAAGGTTGATTTCAACTGATCGTACGTTCCAACCTATCCAGCAGGTGAGCTTCCTTATACATATCACCTCATGCGCTCTACCTGGCAAGCTCCGACAAGCATAGCACGATTAACAAAAGGCATGCAACCACGCCAGTAGCTAAAATTCCTTCAGTGGCACAGAAAACGAGATGGTCGAACATACGCAAAGATTCCTTCCTCGCGGGCGATGCGGACGGCAGCATCAACCACAGACTTGTAGTTGCGACGCTGATGACCGTGAGATTAGTCTGAATAGCTTGTTGTGACAAGGAAAGAACCAGTTCTGGAGGAAGTGCACTGTCGTTACTCATTCTCACGAGAGAGACCTAGAACCCGAGAGTAAGGGATAAAGGTGACAATAACTCTCTAAAAGAACCTCAGCTGGGCAAGAAACCACAGCAGCGCATGCGCCAGAGGCGACGCCAACTGCAAGTCTGCTCCAGACATCGATTTCTCGATACTTGGCAAGAGCATCTCTCATTACGTCGAACAACCCCAACCTCGAAGTTGCATAGAAGACTTGTCTCATCACACCAGCAGACAAACCCTTGTACAGCGACATGGCTCCATCCTGCATCATCCAATCACTTCCGTATCCAGCTTCCACCGTGCTCAGACCTTTTTGACGATCTGTTGAAAGAAGGGAACGAAGCCCAACCCCTCCGAATTTCCTGTCGAAGCAACATCAAGAATCACAAGGTCCTGTCTCCTTTCCTTACCAGAAGCGGTAGCGAGATTCATTCGGACGGCAACCTGTAGAAGCACATCAAAGGAAGTGGTCTCGTCATAAACAAAGCTACGGTGTTGAATGGGTGCACAATGACCCATGCGCCGATACCACCGATGCCTGGAATCATTTCATTACTTGAACACATTAGGAGGTCAAAGTTGTACCTCCGGTGGCAAAATTCACAGCTGCAGGTAGAGTCTTTTTGTTCGCTGAAAGCAAATCAAATCATCGCGAAGCACAAGCCATCTCAATGCCAAACTTACACATTCTAACGAATCCAGGTCGTTCACGGTTCGATAGTGCTCTGGAAAGAAAGCTTTCAGGAAAACAGATAACTTTTCAATTCAATTGTACGTCTTGTATCTACACCATTACATGCACTTTAACAAAACATCACCAAGCATTTCTATTCACTGTACTCTTCTTCGGTCCAACATCTCACATCTATCCCTAGAATCAGGATCTCGTTCTTCCTGCTGTGCTGACTGCACATCTCAAAAAGATTTCATCTTGATGTATGTTCACTGTCCAGCTTATTGGTTACCACATTACTCTACATCAAGTCGACCTTTCCAACAGCAAATGATCCTGTTGTGCATGAACCTCGTCTCATCGTCCCCCTTACAGCTTGCCTAGCCTGTTGCTTCCATCTCCTTCTCCTTCATGCTACATCCTTATGTCTTTCTCTCATCATGCCGAACAAAGGTGCTATCTTCTCCCTGCACTGCCTGCCTGCCTGCCTGCATGTCTGCCTGTCCCTATGCCTGTGGCATCGCGATCCTTCCGCCTGTACTACCCCACCACCTACGCACGATGGGAGGATCACCCTACCCTTATAAATTGATCTTTTTCGACCACTTTAGTACCGGTACTAAGAGACCATTCCCCTACATGGTCCGAACCCCTACACAGCGAGCGACTGTTCCAAATCAACCTGGCGAAAAGGCTTCAACTAGTAACCTCATAATTTCAGGAAAAACTGAATATGCCTTTTATACTTTGAAATCTGCCATGTATTTTTCCCAACTCTGTACACCTCATCGGCCAACTTTCAATTCCCTGGCCCTACCTCCAAGAAGGAAGGGGCGTATACCACCCTACCCCTCATCAGAGCCAATATTGTATGATTCGCGGGTAGGGTAGCATGAACGACCAATCTAAACCATAGTCCCCCTCCTTCATCATCATCATCATCTCCTCCTCCTCCTTCTCCTCCTTCTCCTCCTCCTCTTCGTATCCAACCATGCTGTATCGCTCTTGCTTGTCATTGTCGTATTGCATCCTCTAGAAAATCACCCAAGATCTTTGCGCATTTGCATAGCAATTCAACATTCAATGCTTTTCTTATCTTATCTGGCTGTAAATCACTCTAAACAAGACCAAGGCAAAACATTACAACCATCCGCTCCTACATTCAAATCAAAACTACCTTCCTCTATCTTCTTTGTAATTTTTCAATAAACTTTCATCAGCAGGTATAGCAAAACCAATGTCATTCTTGGACGTGCCAGTGTAAAGAAATTTCATATTTTTCACCAATAAGCACGAAGTCACATATCATCGGTGAAAGCAAAGAAGAAGGTGGATCGACACAAAGGTAAACTATACACAAATGAAGACCTCGAAGCTCTGCTAACCTTAGAATTGAGAATGTCAATGCTACCGTTTTTCTATGATAAATCCATACCTCGATCCTCCAAGATTCAAATTCTTCTAAAAAGTAAAGAAAGCCGAATGAAAAGTGAAAAGCGAAAAGTGAGCAATCTATTTCAATGGACTCTATTTCAATGGACTAAACTCTTGGATACTCGATCCCATTACTCTTTGGTGCTAGTAATCCACAAAGAATGACGTTGCAAATAAAAGAAGATGAAAGTTGATTATTTTCGGAATAAACAGTGGAAAGACAGAATGATGAGGAGAAGATCATCTGTGTTTCAGCTCTTGCAGCGCTTGTGTTTGTGGGGTTGAGAATCGGGAAGGGAGAATCATGAGTGGTATAGAGGAGTAGGAGGACAAAAGCACAATCCACAACAGACACAACCGTCATAATGAGCAAACAAGTGTGTGCAGCAGGAGTTGGAGCAGCAGCAAAGACAACAGGAACACACTGAATCTCCTCCTCCCCCCTCCCCTGCTCCTCCTGCAATGAAAAATTGTTACCGTCCCCTTTCTGCGATTTACAGCGAGGGAAACTGGCCATCCATCATACTGGTTCTCCCACCTCTGGTCGATAATCATCCAGGTTACCATTTATGACCCTCACGGCAGGATCTGTTCCGAAAATGCGCTAGTGAAGGTTGGGAGGCAGAGGAGGCGAGGAGCGGGGCAGACGGAGAGCTGCTGGGAATGTGGTAGAAGTGAGCTGGGATGAGCTCTGAGACGATCTCCGCATGAGCAGGAGCTGCCGCTGAGACTGCAGGCCACCTGAGAATGAAGAAGCTGATGCAGCTGCGTGCAAGGGCGAATGGCAACAAATTCATTTTCACGATTGTCATCCGGACTGTACGTGTAGATCCATCAGTGAAGCTGGAGGTCATCTAGACATCTGTCAAGCATACCTTGATTGCTAAACCTTCTGTATAGGACTTTGAGGCCTCGGTTTCGATTCATCGTGGCTCGAACCTCGTCGAAACAAAAATACAGCCCATTATGAACAAAAAGATAACATGGAACGAGACTTTTGAAATTCTATGCACACTTTACAGGTCAGTGATTGTCCAATCCTTCCTTGCTGTCTGATTCATGTATGCTGTCTGATTCATGAATGCTGTCTAGGACTAAGGAGGGCGACTTCCAAGAAAAGATCGCAAAGATCCAGCTGAGGGGATCTCATGAATCATACAGCACAGGTGCGTCAAAGGCTACGGGCCCGGTCTTGGCATCGGCAAAGGTTTGATTTCTTTGAATTGCTCCTTAAGAACCAACTCATCGCACAAGAACAGTTTGATTTGACAAAAGCTGCGAGCACAACCTTCGAAGGGAAGGTGATGGACTTTGACGTGGCGTTGAACTCGAAAGTACTCCATTCCTCTTCAACGGTGTCAACTTTCGGCACCATGAGCTTACAGATAAGATCAAGGTAGACGTAGGTACAACTCCTGTGACGTAAGCTCATCCTGGCGTTTCCCTGAAAGATATTTTGGAGCTGGTGTGGAGCAAATCAACGAAATGTCGACGAATCTAGATGATGTTTGGGCCGTGAGATGGTTTTCATTCCACTGATTCGAGTTATCAGAGCCTCCATCTTCAGACTCCAGTCAGACACAGCTTGTCCTCAACCCCGAAGGAACCAAAGGAGTACCCCGAGAAACTCCCTTCTCTCAACCCGGATGTGATATCTCTTTTCCTCCCACTGCTCTCCTCCCCGTGATGCCAGGAGCAGGAGCCTAGCTTTCCGGGACTTCGGGGAACGACGAGATACAAGGTCACTTGCATCTACTACATTGAAGTCATCTCATTGCCCAGCAGGCTACAACTGGTAATTCTGTGTCCAGGGACTCACTGGAAATCGAGGAGGTACACGGTAAAACTGTTTGCATGGGGGATGATAAGGGTCACAGGAAGAGACAAACTCGCCTTTCACACCCGATGAGTCAGCGATCGAAGTAGTTCAGAACCTTCGAGAGCCAGTCAAGGTCCTCCTGAATCCCAGAGAGATGAGGGAGCTGAAGAAGTCAGAAACACGTGAATGGCGCTTGTTCGCGAGGCCCCGCACTGAGAAAGTCAGCAGTTCATGAAGCGGATGAGGCCATCGCGAAAACAAAGATGCATCATCATTATGAAGAGGTGATCCGCTCTGCCCAGAGAAGTGAGCGGTCAACTCTCATGCAAGAGCGAGAGGTGCTTTGCTGCGTTCTATTCCGATCAGTCTGATAGAGGTGTGTTGGTGAACACAGATAGACCATCTCAAAGGCATGATAGAGAAGTGCAAGGCCGAGATCTACCACCGAGACAAGATCATACAGGGCCTTCAACTGAGCGAGTATAACCTCCGATTGCAAGTGGCCTCGCTCAACTCTCGCATGAGTGAAACGGCGAGGTACCTACGAGTCTAAGGAGGCAAGAGTTTTTATCTTCTCACTGTGTTGCAAGGCAAGAAAACGGGGCATCCGAAACAAACCTCTCTCACGACATACAGGAGGTGGCTGATATCTGACATTCTTTCGCCTAATCTGAAAATTCTTAGGCAATTGCAAGTGAGACTGAACGTCTTACACTTGCGTATCTGCCTGTGATCAGGTCAAAGATGTGATTCTTGCGTAATACTTTAATAATCTCTGCTCAGGGACCTCATGAAAGAGCTTGAGGATACAAGATTTCACCAGCAGTATCGATGATGCATCAGAAAGAACGGTCTACCAAATATTCTTTCTTTGGTTCTCCGTGCCAAACTCGTGTACTATTCTACATTGCCCTGCGGAAAGAAGCGCCTGTCTGCATGGCAAGATTTCTTGTAGTTGCAAAGCAAATTTGTTGCATTCTCCTCCCCTCCCTCCCTCCCTCCATCGCTCGCTCCCTCTTCAGTTCTTCCATATCCCCATCATAAACCCCGCTATACCTATCACGTTGACCAACAACCAGAAATCGTTTCTTCCCTCCCTCCCTCCACCCACCCACCCAACTTTCCCGTTCCTCTCCTCCATTTCATCTCCATTGCCAGTGCCCCCTTTCGTTCTACCCCTGAACTACCCCATATATTGAGGACAAATACACCGGTGGTAAGTGGTGCCTTGCTTCCATGTAATGCGGGCGTATCGGACAAGGACCTGCAAAGAAGGAGGAGGGAGATGAGAAGGAGAAGTTCGCCGACTGTCCTGCTCATCATCATGGCAGCAGTTCTCATGTCCCTTCCTTCCCTCCAGGGGAACAGCAAAGTCCTCCTCCTACCCCTCGCTCGACGGGATCATTGTTCCCTTGGGTTCAGGTTGCGAGGGGGTAAGGACCAGGATGATGGCGAAATGGAGGGTTCGTTCGAGATGGAGGAGGAGGAGTCGATCCCCTTCATCTCTTCTGACAAGGAGGGAGACGAGAGACTTCAGGGGATGGAGGATGAGGAGGCTGAACAAGCTGAGTTTCCCCTCCCTGGCGATCTCCTCAGCGTCCAGCTCGAGCTTTGGGTGGAGGGCAGGTTGGCCCTCGATACGAGAGCAGCGATCCAACGTTGCGCACCCAAGGAGCAAGAAGGTCTGAGAGGAGCATGAGCTGTCTCGACTGAGAGTGATGTCTTGGTTCCGACAACAGGGTCAGTGAAAAGCCTGTCTTACAGGGAAGCTGCGGAGTGTCCGATACAGTTGCTCTACGCCTACGGAGGTGATCTTAGCTACAACGAAGACTCCCGCGACTTTGAAGCCATACCAGGGTTGTTGTCCTACTACTGTGGAGAAGGATCAGGTCAGGGTGTGCATGCGATGCTGTGGGTTTGATAGGCGTTTGCAGATTGTATCCCGCCTCCTTTAGATGATGTTATCCAGAGCATGAAAGTCGGAGAATCACGAAGGTTATCTATAGATGCTCTGTTCAATTACAATGGCTTCAAAGGGCTTGCAAGGGAGCTAGGAATTGATACGATGGCTACGGTCGATGTGGTGAATTTGTTTTTGAGTTCCTCCAAACGCGAATTGACAGATGGGTGTCTGTAGCGTGTAAAGCTTGCCGCAAAGAATGTTTTTGACGTCAATCGTGACGGATCGGTCCTTGTGAGGTCGGTAGATTGAAATTTTTGTGCTGGGAATGCTCAGTCTTCTCAAACGTCAGGTATCCCCGGAAAACTGTCAAGCAAATCCAAACATGGAGGAAAGCTAGTGATTGGAGATTGCTGGATCAACGTCCGAGGTAGCCCCTGTTGAGTATTTCGATCTTCTCTTCTTACGTGCAACTCAGTTACAATGCCGAAGTACAAATGTTGAACAGTTTCCATGGGTCCTTTCAAGTACAAAATCTCTCACAGATCTCCAGACTGAAGTTCGGGCAACTTTCCCTGTCTGACCTACAGGTCACCGAGGCTCGCAGTGAATGGTTCAGGATGCGGAGTGATGATCTCTCTACTGGCTTGCAGGATGCAATCGTCAAATACTCTGTTGCTGAATCCCCCATTACAGTCTATGTGAGAAGGGGGGAGAGAACAAACGAGGATTCCTTGGATTCAGGTTTGACTGCGATAGAAGGGATGGAACATTTCAAACCCTCCATGTATCACGTCTACAACGTGACAGTCCTTGAGTGGAATGAGTACAGAAAGATGACAGAGGACGGGGGACTCATCTTATGTATGAGAGACTGTCGCAAATCTTTCTCGAAGATTGTTCGCCCAAGCCTTGATGCAGACTTGTTGTCTCTAGATCTTCATTGTCGCATTGTAAATGAGGAAAACAATGATTTCACGAGGAGGAAGGTTACTACCTGGCGTGATTTTGACAAGTGTGCAAGACACGCGTCTCAAGAAGACAACTGTCATGAAATTACAACAAATAGGACATGGACGTCTGGGAAGGAATGGAAAGACTGCAACATGAAGATAATCTTGGGAGATTTTGAGCTTGCTTCAGGGTTGGAACGATGCTTGCAACAGATATACATTGGACAGCAATGCAAGGCATGGATGCGAGCCCCTTACCTCAACACGTTCAAGTGGAACGAGGGAAACGTAAGGGGTGAAGGGGGCTTGTTTGGCCCAAGTGCAGAAGCTCTCTATGAATGTGAATGGAAGGTCTTGAATATCACTCCAAAGTTTAAACACTCCAAAGATCAATTGATGATCCTTGCAAAGAAGAGGAAATCCCTCGGTAATCAGTTGATGGAACTTGAACAATTTGAAGATGCGAAAGAAGTGTACTTTCGCGCGCTTGACCTTCTTGGAGACCTCAGGGTCGAAGAGGACGGAGAGGTGTCCTCCAACAGATCTGAGGTCAATGTCATATCTTCATCCACAACACTCTATCAGCCTACTGTTCCGGCTCGAGAGCTCGAAGCGACGGTCAAGATCAATTTGGCAACAGCTGACATCCAACTTAAGAATTATGATGAGGTAAGACCTGTTTCATCTTATTCCATGGTATAAAACTCGTTTGGGATACAGGCGATTTGCACCTTGGACAAGCTGATTGACAATGAACCTAAGGTTTCCCGGGCATACCAACGGAGGATAATCGCGGCCTTCAAGAAAGGGGACATGGAGTCGTTTGAAAGAGATTTGAAGTTGCTTGAAGCTTTGGTGGATGTAAAAGACAAGAGTTTGAAAGAACTACCCTTTCAGGAGAGCAATCCAGTTTCAAGACGTGAATTTGAAAGGCTTGAAGAAATGTTAAAGCAATACAAATCTGATTTTGCTGAGAAAGAAAAGACTATTTTCTCGAAAATGTTTCAGAGGCCAAAACGAAAGGCCAAGCCAAATCAGGGGAAAGCAGAAGATCAAGGAAAGTCTACAACTGACTTGATGAAGCAAAACATGTCTCAAATCACAGAGATGACTAGTCCTCGGCGAGAAAAAGTTACAAAGTTATCTATACAGGGTCACGAAAATCCGCATATTATTGTACAGAAGGAAATTGGGGAAGAAGAACAGAAGAGGAGGAGAGAGGAGATGGCTCGTAATGCTGCAGCAAATTACAATCAGACAGTGGAAAGTGGGGTCCAGAAGCTAAGGGAAGAAAGGGTCAAGGAGGAGAGATCGAAATTAAAAAGTGTGGGAAGCCAAGAAAGTTTGAAGCAGGACATAAGGTTTACTCCGCATTCTGTCACTGACAATCCGCAAGACTTCCCGCCTGACCTTCGATCTGTCTTGAGCCCAGCCATAGAACCTCCAAGACTAAAGGACGAGGTCAAGAAAGACGATTTCGATATACCTCAAGATCCCTTCATCTTTTCCGAAATGTTGAAAAGAAGCAAAGAGGAGCTGAAAACTTCGCAACTTGAGAATGTCAAGGTGAAGAGGTCGATTCTGCAACATTTGATTCATACTGTCACGACCGTCAAGAGAGAAGGGGGAAGGTTTAGCGACCTTATGACTAACGAGATGGAGCTGTTAAAACGACAGCTCATCGAGCTAGAGCAGGAGTCTGAGAGGGAGCTGGTTGAGACATCCGAGGTAAGTGCGGAGCATTTTATTGATAGCACCTCACGTCGGTCGGGCAGATGATGGAGAGTGTCTTGAGGGGGCCGAACTCAACTTCGATTCAACGAAAGAATCTGTTACAGACGTTGAGAGCTGTGCATGATGTGCAGAGGCAGAAAGTGAAAGTCTGCTCAGAGATGATCTCGAAACTTCTTCAGTTGCAGGATCCGCATGTTGACCTGGACGAGTTTGAGCAACAGATCCGATTGGAAGAGACAATCGCTGCGGAGATGGGGATGCAAGTGGATGATACTGTTGATGATGCTGCATACGTGGAGACCTTGGATGACAACCAGGAAAGGAGGTATCAAGAACACCAATCACAGGGAAAACGAGCTACAATAGAAGAGGCTCACGCCAACTTTATGAACACAAAGGATTACGGTGCGTGTTTGTCTGATATTTCGTGCAACTTGAGGCCTGACAGCTTTTGACAGGTTACATAGACCAAATTTCTGAGATCTTGCAGGATGAAGAACTTCTGAAAGAGTCAAGAAGCACCATTCATGAAGTCTGTCCTGGGCACGTAGTGGACCCCAACGACAAAGATGCGGTTTGTCCAAACTGCAACCTTGTTGGAAAGAAGAGAGACCAGATCGAACGTGACAACAACAACACAGTCGTTCCAGGCAAACCTCAGTACAATGACGAAGAAGCGAGGCAGATTATGGAGATCGTGCGAAACGATACCAGATACGGCGCTTGAAATGCAGAGAGCTTCTCGTTGCTAGATTCCTTCAAGCAGTGTAGGCCATGAATCTTTGTCAGTAGAGTGCAACAACTCTCTGGATATGAGAAATGACAAGTATGGATTGCCGCTCCTTGCTCTCCTTGGTTCCATTTTGATTGTTGACCAACCAGTGTCAGACTTGTTGGCGTACGTGCAAGACAGCAAGATGTGATAAACTTTTATGCATATCTTGCGGATCATCCGCAAGATATGCATAAACTTGCGGATTTCATCAACAGTCATTCTCAAGTTTCGGTATCGACAGCTTTTTTCCAAAGAAATGGTTAGCAGTTGGTCATATTCGTCTCATCCAGATCTTTTCTTCAGCATTCTTGTTCCTGCTTCAGGAGCATATCCTTGTCAACACTTGCAGTGAGCACGATGAAATTCATCGATGATTCTTATCCCACTTGACCATCCTAACACTGAGTGGGTCTTGCCTGATGTTAGGGGACCGCAGGATTTCAACCCATATCAGATATTGGAGTCAACACAATCATTAAATTCATCATCGATTCGTTGACTTCCTTCCACAGTGATAGATCTCACAATCAACTGCACTCTTTCTCCCGTCTTGAGATTTTTATCAGGGTTCTCCTCCAGTGTCCTAGGTTATGGATGCGAATGATCTGTGTGAATCCTTTCTATCCTCTCTCCTCTCTCCTCTCTCCACTCTCCTCTCTCCTCTCTCCTCTGTCCCCTCTCTCCTCTCGCCTCTGAAATATAGATGTTTGGGCCTGCAAAGTACGGGAGTCCCTTTCGCCCGATTGAACACAGCGGCTTCCTACTGCGGAGGATTGAGATCCGTTTTATCATCTCCATCAATATCCTGATCGTCCGATTAGGGTTTACCTCTCACAGCCCTGTCTGTCGTGCTATCCAGCAGTGACTACCACCAGGATGTAAGTTCAACAGCGATAGGCGTCAACATGAAGATATGGTCGAGTCATAGCTGGCGATAGCGAGAGGGGATTTCGACCGGGTGAAGCAGATGAACGGATAGCAACAAACTTCTGCTCGAGGCAGAGAGGGAGCGTCTAACGTCTCCGCACCAACAGCACCTCTTCCTCCTCGTACCACTTGTCAGCCCAAGTCCATACGAGACCTGACTTCAGACACAAGAGCGCTGGAACCGGACTTATTACCAGAAGGATACCGAAGATAGAGGACAATCACTTCATTACTCAATCATCATACAACAGCACCTCTAC